TAGGAGCATTGAATTGATTATGTTAAAAGTGACTAGTGAATTAATGGATGAGATTAGAGAAGCCTAGGAGTTAGAGCCTTTCTTAGAGAACCAAGTGGAAAAGATTGGTAGGAGTATAGATAACTTTTCTGAGTAGAATCGATGTTGTTTTGAGGTGCAAGAACAAATTTGGGTGCTTAGTAACCTTCAATTAAGAAAGATGATTTTAGAGGAAGGACATTCATTTAGGAGCTACTGAGATGTATCGAGACCTTAGGAGGATGTATCAGAGTGGTGCAGCGGAAGCATGGTGGCCTAAGGTGAAGAGAGGAGTAGAGAAATTGTATGCTCGTGTTTTCGTGTTTAGTATGCTAGAAGTCTTTAGGACTTTTGCAGCCTTTAGACGTCCCATTTTGGAAGTGAGATGGTGTGTAGATAAACCTTGGTTGTAGGCTTGCCTAAGATGATTACGAAATTTGATTCTTTTTGGGTTACAGTGGTTGGACTCACCAAGTTTATATGCCTTACCCTCATTGATAATAGATATTCCTTGGTGAGATTGTTAGACTTGTACATGAGTAAGGTAGTGAGGTTGCATGGGAATTAGAAAATATTTGACATAAGTGATGCGTGTTAATTGTCTCACTCATCTCACACCATGCCAAAGGCACGCTCGTCCCTGGAGCATTACCTCCCAGGGTTCGTCTCATCCCTGGTCATTAGTGTGAGGTACCACAGTCACAATCATAATCATATCCACACATCAATTCCACAATACATACACAATCCACACAAAATGGTGGTTCACATACCCCTCAAATAATTCACCATGAATCCTCATCTAGATCATCAATTTTACCAAATCATGTAATAATAATATTTATCATCAATTTTACCAAATCATGTAATAATAATATTTATCATCAATTTTACCAAATCATATAACAATAACATTCATAAATTAGTATAATAATCAATGGAATTAGCAATTTAATATAAACTTAACCCAAACAATAAAACCCCTAATTTTTCCAAAATCTAACTCACAAGCACTTTTCTACAATTTCGTTCTCTCTCCCAGATCATCATTTGTACAAATTATTAGCATATTTCTAATCCTCAATACATATACAGTCTAATGGAATCATTAATTCCTTAAACAGAAATAATCCAATTTTTTTCCAAAACCTAACTTACAGACACTTTTCTATAATTTCGTTCTCTCTCCTAGGGCATCATTTTTACAAATAAATCATATATTCGTAGTCCTAAATATATACAGAATCAAATGAGACCAATAATTCTCCAAACAGAAATAATTATAAAATTTCTCATAATCCTAAGGGCTCTTCCTCTACCCAATTCCCTCATGTAACTCTTCATATAAATAATTCTCTTTTCCCCCGTACCTGGATAAACAGCGGTTGAAACCAAAACAGAGATCTCTTGGTCTCCTCCTCTAAGTGTCCTTTGGTCTTCAGAGAGAAGAAGAGGGAAAGAAGAGAGAACAGAAGAGAATAGGAAGAGAGAATGAGAGATGTGAGAAAATGAGAGGTGTGCCTTTTGGGAGTGGCAGAAAGCTCTATTTATAGGAATCAGGCTTCGCCAGAACGGACTGTTCCAAATCCGGAACGGCCCATTCTGGACCCTTAAATCAAGACAGAAAAACACATCCAGAACGGCCCGTTCTCAAACTAGAACGGCCCGTTCTGGGGTGCATTTAATGCTCACAACGGTCATATTTTGGAACGGCCCGTTCTCAACTCTGGAACGACTCGTTCTCAATTTGGGAACGCCCCGTTCCCATTTAAAATTTTTAGCCAATTTTTGTATTTTGGAATGGCCTGTTCCAGTTTGGAAACGACCCGTTCTGGGATACAAAATCACTCTCATTTTAGTCTTTTGGAACGACTCGTTCTGATTTGGGAACGACCCGTTCTGGGCTACTAAACGACCCCTATTGGGCCTTTGGGCCCTCAAATAATCTGTGAAAATCGGGCTGTTACAATTCTCCCCTCTTTTTAGAAATTTCGTCCCCGAAATTCACCTGAAAAAAGAAATGGGTAGACTCCTTACGTGTTGCTTTCTAATTCCTATGCAACCTCACTATCTTATAGA